ACTAGTGACACATGAGGCAACTAGTCGGACAAGTCCGAACCAAGCATGACGACATCACCACCAAGTCCCTGTACTTGTAAACCCCATCCCCTTGACTATATAAAGGGGCTTGTGGAGCCCTACCAAGGGGCATGAGAAGCGATCACCACACACAGTTACTCACACAACCTCTTGTAACAAATCCCTATCTAAACCTCGAGTACTCTTCCAGACTAGATGTATGGCTCGACCGCTCAAACCAGCATAATACTTGGTTTCTTCTATTCTACCCCATTGAACCTCGTGCATGACCTAACATTTTACTTGCTGATGGTACCATAAGAAACACTAAAACACCAACAACTGTCATGAAGAATCAACCCTGTTTGTATTTGAGATATATATATGTTTTTGTGGGAGTTGAAATTGATAGGTGCCCTTAGCGAAAACTGGCTGGTATATAAGAAAATCTAAAGGGGGCAGGAGGTTGTTCTTTTAGAAAAGAACATCCAATTTCTTTTTGGCGTCTTCTTGTTACTACTTGAAGTTTATATCTTACTAGGCAACAATAAGAATTATTTTTCCTATGAACCAAGTGTTTGCATTCCTAGATGATCCATGATACAATACATCAACCTCACATTCACTAATACACTCAATCAGCTCTACATATACAAGGGGAAAATAAGTATAAACATGTCTCGGTTCCTTTACTTATAAGGAGCCGAACTCACGGTGTCTCAAACAACCAAAAAGGACAAGAGCTCTGCATGCCGGCCACCTCATTTGTTTTCATTTGGTTCACATCAGTGTAGCTACTAGATGTTATTGTTAGTTCCTTGCCATTATTGCATAAATGTGCTGAGATCAGGAGGGTCATTTTATGGACGCCAAGCACATGGATACGCCGGACCATATTGAAGTACCTCATCCCACCCCTCTCCCACACAACAGCTTCAAAAAAAAAAAAGAATTAACATCCTGATCTCGCTATTAAAGCAGTTGTCTAACTCACAAGCTTAGCTCAGAGGACACCAGAGGCAAGGACCTGGAGGTGCAAATAAGCAGAAGACTAGAAGTTCACTTTGAGTCCATTTCGTTGAGGCAAGGAGCTCACATCAACGCACATAAGCAACATTGTGACATTGAGGGAAAAAAGCCCATCCGCATGGATCCACGGCCGTCGCTGTTTTTTAGTTAGTTGGTTCGGTTCTTGGTGGTAATATCTTTCTACCCAAATTTGAGTCTATAACTTTGTTAGCATAGGGGTTTACATTTATGGCTAATTATTCTTTCAATGTTAGCGACATGCTCATTGTATTGATGTGCTTATAGCAGTAAAAAATGGTGTATATATAGAGCTTGCTCCCTATAATTTTGTCCACATAGTATATTATTCCTTCAACAAGATTGTTACATCCCAAACCTATTCTCAACCCCATGGACACTTTCGCTTCTCTCACCGTGACAATGATCTCCTTTATGATGCAGCGTCATTCGGGCGTTTTCACCCCTCCAATCTTGGTGGCCTCCCATGTCGGCCATGCTCCGCGTGCTAGCATCGAGTGGTCACTGTCGATTTATATCGACGATGGGTCCTGCCTCTTAGGTCTCCGCAGAAGCACCGAGTGGTTGAGGAAAGCATACAGATGGGAGAGGGCGTGAATGGAAATGGGAGCAAAGAGATAAGGGTGGGGTCCTCATGTGTAGTGACTCTCGCCACAACCAGTGACAGTGTCTTCTCTCGCCTACTTTGTCTCTCCTAGCTAGACTCTTGTGGAGACTCCTGGCAGTAACCTCGTTGTAGGTGTTCTTATAGGCTTCGTCAATTCTAAGATCTACCGACTTATCATCTCACTAGAACAGTGTGCGGCGTTGCCGTGCTTGAAATGTGCCCGCACATTGTTTCTAGGTTTTGTAGTTAGACCATATTTTAATTTAATGAAACGACAATTGTAGGTCAGCTAAAAGTCCAGTAGCAGTTGGCCTTTTGTTTCCCGGTTGTTTCCTGTTTTTTTTATTTTCTTTTCTTTCTTTAATTTTTCTTACAACAGTCCACGTCAGGTTTGCTGAGAAAGGACGAGTGGCAGTAATAGCCTACGGGAGCATGTTATATTTATCTACATACTTCTCTATATTTTTTTCTAGAGTCCACTTAACATTTTTTAAGTAGCTGCAGCGCCGGTCACGGAGTAAGTATTTTTTATTTACTTACCCTACCGGTAACTCTCTAGAGTTTTATGTATTATGAGAAGTCCAAAATACACCGACGGCTATTAGCATCACTCATGCCGATAGATTGTTATCCAACGGTTCAGATTTGTCAGATGACATCGTGATGACGTGGCAAAATACTTTTTCGTTACCATGACGTGGTTTAAGTCATTAAAGATAAGCATTCATAGAGGTAGGACATGCATGCATTCGTGGGTTGAATATACATATACATATGTGAACGCTTTGCGTATATATTGTGTTATGAAAAAGAGTTCTTTCGTATAGTGTCTTTTGATTATACTTCATATTTAGGTTGATTTCTGTACTTTTATATATTCCTTGCAACTTTGTTAGAGCTCACATATATTGTATTGCATGGTCCAGCAAGTGCACTCCATGGTGTCCTATGTAACGTAACACACTTCTAGAGGGAGGCAATTATCTTCCTTGCAAGCACAAAACAAACCCAAAGGGCTAAGTGGAAGCTGTTGTCACCACTAGCTACCGCCTATTAGTCTACTGGCTAGTACACTCTTCTCATTTAAAAATTGTAACTGGTACTACACTTTAACTATACATTAAGGCCCACTAACGGTACTACACTCTTCTCATTTAAAATCTAGGCTTTGTTTAGATTGCAAGTTTTTTCACGCTCTCCATCACATCAAATTTTTGGACACATGCATAGAGTATTAAATGTAGATAAAAAAATAACTAATTACACAGTTTAATTGTAAATTACGAGACGAATCTTTTGAGCCTAGTTAGACTATGATTAGACAATAATTATCAAACACAAATAAAAGTGCTACAGTATCAGATACTAAATCCTAACTCCAATCTAAACAAAACCCAGTCGTAGCATGTGAACCACTCGTGATCCCTATGACATCATCATGTGCTCCTACATCTGGTAAACAGGCTTCATGTCTTTGCATACATAACCTCTTCCTTTTTCTTCCTTACATTCAAACAGGCTTCATGTCTTTGCATACATAACCTCTTCCTTTTTCTTCCTTACATTCAACCTGTTCGTTTGGTAGTTTCAGCCAGTACTTATCAGTCGACCAACAATGTTTTTCTCTCACAATAAATCAGCACCAGTCGGGTTTATCAGCCTAGAAACCAACCAGCGAACAGACCGATTATTTTGATTATTTCTTAAGAACCATATTTGTAACCTGTAAGCTGACACCACATAAAGTTTATTAAGTTCAAATCGAAAGGATGGAACATGAAGTTCATTCCAAGAAAAATCAAAGCACAAAAGATGCCTTTCCACCAAAAATCACCACTGCGTGTGATCACAGCATACCATGTCCTAAAAGATCTGAAAACTACGTCCACTGTGATCCCCAACCACCAATTATTCCAAATATACATTCACAAAAGAGAACCACATATATATGGCCTAACAAAGCTCTAAATTATAAATTGCTGAAAATGATAAAAATATCTTAATAATATATGTAGCTCCTACAAACAATACTGACACTAGATGATTTTGGAAATTTTTTCTCGTTAGTCGAAATACAGGACATGCTTAAATCTATAATCAGTTTACGCAATGACACTTATTGTGTAAAGTATGATAATGGATCAAAATTGGGAGAGCTAATGTAAATGTCTCAATTGTGGTTCATGTAATTAGGAAAACACTATGGCAACAAACCAACAATAATTGCCTCATATACGAAACCTCTCAAGGCCTCCCACAGCCTGTTCGGTTGGCTGGTTCGTAAAGAAGTACTGCTGGCTGGTTTGTGTGAGAGAAAAATACTGTTCCGGCTGAAAATTTACGATCGTTTACGACAAGCCACAGCCAAACGAAGGCTGATGATCCAAAAAAAACTAATCTAACCATATATGTCACAAACAACACACACTCACAAGGCCTATAATTGAACGACTATTTTGTCACAGCATAATCAAATGCTTTCGTTTGTTGGTATCACCACCCAAACCAACCAAATCAAGCGATGTTTTCTCTCACAACAAATCAAGACCACCATATCTAAACCAAAATTTTAAACCAACCAAATGAATGCACCCAATAAAAGAAGGTACTAGCAACGTGTCAGTGGAATGAACCTCCATCTTACTCTCTCCGTTCCAAATTATATATAATTCGTTTTGAGTTTTCTAAATATATAGCTTTTATTATGTTTCTAGATATAGCTTATATCTACTATACAGAAAAAATAATATACCTAGAAAAACTAGAAGGACTTGTAATTTAAAACAGAGGGAGTAGAACCTAAAATGAATTATCTAAACATGCGCTATCATATAAAAATGGTTGATGTTATAGATACCCTTTTATCATACTATGAAGAGACTAGGTGAGATGAGATAATACCCTAATCCCTATTTCAGCAAGACAGGGTGTCATTAGTTGGTGGTTTTATAAGTCGAAAATTTTGTTGCAGTTTTCAGCCGTTCGCTCGTTGGTTTCAGTCAGGGCTTATCAATCAGTCAATAATATTTTTCTCTCACAACAAACCAAGATTAAACCCATTTTATCAAATCGGTAAAACCAACCAAAGAAAAACAAAAAAAAAACACTCCAAAAAGATCCCAAGTAAAGCCCGGTTTGTAACAAGTGGAGAAAGAAGAGGGCACCGCCACCGGGCGGGTGGGCCCACACATAAATAGCGACCAACCGCTGCTAAAAATAAAGCGTGGCGACTGGCGAGGCGAGCGGACCTCCCGTCGATTCTCTCCCACGCGTCGCGTCGCGTCCCGTCCCGTCCGTTCCCTCGCCGTCGCCGCCGCCGTCGGAGCGCCGCGCCGCGCAGCGCCGGATGACGCAGAGCATGAGAGGCGGAGGGAGCGGCCGCGGCCACGGGAAAGGCCAATACGGCAGCAGCCACAACCACCACCTCCACCACAGCGCGCTGTGCTGCCTCTCCGCCGCGCCGCCGCTGCCGGGGGACGCCACGCCGACGCTGACGCCGGAGCCGGAGGCCGCGGCCGCTGCGTCGGGTCCGGCCGTCGCAGTGGAGGGCGTGCTGCACAAGTGGACCAACTACGGCCGCGGGTGGCGGGAGCGCTGGTTCTCGCTCCGCGACGGCGTACTGTCCTACTCCAAGATTCGGGCCGCCGACGCGGGCGGCGTCGCCCGGGCCGGGGCCGGGGCGGGGGCGCGGGCGGGCGCGGCGGCGGACGGCGACGGGGAGGTCAGGCTGATCGGCTCCAGGGTGGGAGGAGCGCGCCGCACGGAGAAGCCCGCCGGCGTCGTTTTCCTCAAGGTCTGCCTCGCTCGTCCCTGTCCCTTCCTCCTCCCGTGCGGTTGGCGCGTGATCCCGGCTGGCCGGACCTCCCACTGGTGGGGCAGATTCCGTTTCGTGATTTCGTCCTCTCGTTTGCCTGTCGACGGTTTCTCCCCGCATTCCTGACTGCTCCTTCTGTGAATGCAATTCGAGACTGATTTTAACATTTTCACCGCCCTCTGAATTTGGGAGATTTTCTTCTTCTCGTAATGCCAATCTGTGTTCCCGGGGAATTTGGTTGCCTTCGCGATGCAGCCAGCGCCACTATTGGCTGGATCAAAGTGTTGCAAAATTGGAAAAAAAGAAGAAATTCTATTTAATTGGCTTCGCCTCTGGGTTCTTTTTGAGGGGGGTGCAAGGTAGATTCTCGTGTCGAGTTCTGCTCATGATGATGGAATGGTAGGTGGGAGACATCGTCACATTGCTGGATCGAAATGACGTGACCTCTCTTTTCTATTTTCCTTTTGCTAGGATACTCGCATTCATTCCATCCTTCTCCTTGTCTGTGCATTGCCGTGACAAATCAACCCTGTCCATTTTGTTGCTCAGATCGCCCCCTCCCTCAAAATCCATTCAATGGTGCTAAAATTAGCATGCTTGATTAATTAATCAACTGACTAACCACCTCATTAGTGGCCCTAAGACAGTTTCCTGTCTAAATTTAGCAGAATTAGTTTAGCTTGGAGTCTAAGTGAACAAAAGGCTTCGCTTTTTTTTTCTTTTTCTGATGGTACCAGTAGTATATGGGAGTATATATATTTCCAAAAGGGCCGTACCTTTCTGTGTCACGCGATCAGGTACATCCTTGCACGTAAAACCTGATCTTTTCGCAGATTTTGTCTAAATTCCAGGCCTCGTTGTTATTTCTGAAAAGGATGGGGGGCTCTGTTGCCATTCTGTTGATACAAATCGATTAGGACAAGCCAAGTTTATCAGTTAGTCGCTGTCTTGTTACTGTGCACGCTTTTTTAACCCAAAACATGATGTATGATAGGATTCATCCAAATGGATGAGTACAGGACAGGTGCTATGTGATAAGTTTAATAATTTAATGTGATTACGAGATAGGATATGCTCTGGGGATGTTTTTAAAATTTGCATTATTGATTTGTACTGCTCCAGGGGTTGCTTTTCCACAAGGCTTTTACTAGCTGTTGAACTCCCAGTGTAGTACTATCACCGGGTCTTTTCAAGGCCTTTGCCCATGGGTCCCAAGAATTAAAGCATGCACAGTCCATCCAAGTGGCCGCATAGAAGAGAGAGGTTGCCTAGGGGAGGGAATAAAATGGAGGACCTGTGGTCTATGTCAGATTGAATCAGGGGGGTTTTGTGGATCTTCAGGAACTGCCTAGGTTGTTTGGTTGAGGTAGATTGTAGCTTGGATTTGTTTTCTTGGTTTCTTGAGATCCTTGTTTCCCCCCTCATTTTTTTTGCGTTGGATTTTCATTTTGTTTCCCTTCCCCCCTAACCAAAGATTGAATTTGAAGGGAGAGGGGTCCGATTTATATTTTTTTCTTCTGGGGAATACCTTTCCCTGTTCCTTAAATCAGTTCGTGTTCTCTTTGCCGTTTCTTAATAGAAGGTTTAGAGCTTGTCTATAAGATATTATGGATGCTGGTCTGTGTATGTATATGCTTTTCCTAGGCCTGAATGCCTGATGCATAGTATTGCATAAGGCCAAGGGAAGTTGTACACATTTTTCATGTGCAAGGCTACCCAGTTACAAACATATGGGAGCTAATAAGTTACTATGTTTCTAGGTGTCAGCATTTCGGGAGAGTAAGTCGGACGATAGGAGATTCTACATATTTTCCCCCACCAAGACGCTTCACTTGAAGACGGACTTGAAAGATGACCGTGCTGCCTGGATTGAGGCCTTGATCCTGGCAAGGAGTGTTTATTCTCTCGGGTCACTCAGTGGGAGAGTAGCTTTCGTGCAGAGCGATGTTTCGATTTCAACTGCAAGGCTTAGAGATCGGATGCATCAGGAGGGTCTGAATGAGAGTCTTATACAGGACTGTGAACAGATTGTGCTTTCTGAGTTCTCAAGTTACCGGAAGCAACTGAAGCGACGTTACGAGGATTACTTAAGCTTGTTTGGGTCCTGCAGACATCAGTTTGAGGTAAGAAGAGCTGCATACATTCTTTGTAGGTGTTCATGACTTTGCACAACGGTGTCCAGTAGCGGCAACCAGTCATTACTTTGTGCAACAGTGATAAGTAGCAGCAACCGACTTGATGCCTGAAAGTAATAGTGTGTCTATATATACTTGTGGCTTCTTAAATTCCTGCCAATCAGCGTATCTCATGTTGAAATAGTTATATAAGTTTGCAAAGGTTCAAGGGCAGGCTTGGTGCAGTGGTGAGAGCTGTCTCACTGAGTTACCAGGTCGCGGGTTCGAAGCAGCCTCTTCGCAGATTTTGCGGGGGGAAGGCTTGCCTCGGTTTTTCCCTTCCCCAGACCCCACTCATGTGGGAGCCTCCGGCACTAGGTCTGCCCCTTAAGTTTGCAAAGGTTACTCCTTGAATGGTTACTCTCCTCTTTTTCCTGCAGGAATTTTACATAGTGTATTACACACATATTTGTGCAGGAAGGTAAAGATGGAAGTATAACACAGGAGGCATTGACAAGAAATGACTTCTCTAGTTCTCGGCATGGAAATTTTAGTGGTACGATTTTAACACATACTGGGCTATTTTCAGGACTAGACCAGCTACATGATCTACTTATCTGTTTCTTGTGTCTTTCACTCCTTTCATGTTTGTGTTTCAAGTAGCCCGAGTAATTTTGAACTCCCACATTTGTTTCCTAAGAATTAACATCTTGCTAATGGTACAATTGTTGTTCTTGCCCAGAATATAGCACAACAGAATCTGATGAGCATGAGTTTGAGAAGCAAGATGGAGGTGAATTGATTTGTGAAGATGAATCTACATTCTTTGATTCTGTAGACTACTTCACAGAGTCAGACAACAGATCTTCAACCATGTTAACTGGTCAAGAAGTTGTGGATTCCCAAACGCATGATTCCAGTAACAACAGGTTACCACAAATCACACGACGGAGTAGGCTGCCTGAGCCTACTGAGAAAGAGAAAGGGATCAGCCTCTGGTCCATTATTAAAGATAGCGTTGGAAAGGATTTGACACGAGTTTGTCTTCCAGTTTACTTCAATGAACCACTCTCATCCCTTCAGAAGTGCTTTGAAGATTTGGAATATTCATACCTCTTGGATCAGGCATATCAACATGGAAAAGTGGTAAGATCGCTTTCACATCTTTTGGTATTGCACATGTCTAGGAATTTCGTCTGCTTTCCATGAGTGGCAGAGATCAACGAAATTATTTCCAATCCCTTTTCTTGTTCAACACTGCATCAGAGTTCAAATCAGCAAACTCAATCTTCAAATGTGATTGCGAGGCAAGTTGAAACTAGATGTGTCATATCTGCTGATCAGATTACATATTAGTACCTGTTGTCATGTTGGGAACTCATCAGTATTGTTCAAGCAGTATACTCCGCTAATAAGCGTGGCAGTTTACTCATTCTTAAAAAAGTGAAAGGTGTTTTCAGAGTACTATAGTTGTATCTGTTAGTTTTGCTCAGCTATGCTGTACAATATCACTTGTTAGGGAAAAGGGCAATGCTGCAGTTGTGTGTATCAACATATAGCATGTTTCTAATACCATGCATGTTGCTATGTTATATGAACTTTTGCTCATTCTTATATTTGAAATCTACTAGGGGGACAGCCTCATGAGAATTCTCAAAGTAGCTGCTTTTGCGGTCTCTGGCTATGCTTCATCTGTTGCAAGACCTTGCAAACCGTTCAATCCATTGCTAGGAGAGACCTATGAAGCTGATTACCCTGACAAAGGAGTTCGTTTTTTTGCAGAAAAGGTTAGTTCAATATGCTTTGTTCGTCTTGTGCAAGAGATGCTGTCTGGGTCTCTGGGGGAAGGATTTATGAGAAATGTTATACATTTACTAAGAAAATGAAGTTTATTTTTTTCGATTATGTTCATATAATGCAAAACTACTGTTATATGTCCATTCCAAAGTCATTTAATTTCTGATAGAGCTATGCCCCTTTGTCTACCTTTTTACTAATCATCCATATCTTACTTTGTGGTACTTTGAATTGGAGACTTCAATTTCATTACATTGCTGTTCAACATTTCCACCAATAGGTTAGTCATCATCCAATGCTGATTGCCTGCCACTGTGAAGGCAAGGGATGGAAATTCTGGGGCGACAGCAATCTCAAATCCAAGTTTTGGGGGCAGTCAATTCAAGTTGAACCAGTTGGCACTTTGACTCTGGAATTTGAGGATGGTGAAATCTTCCAATGGAATAAGGTGTCCAGCACAACTGGAGATACTAATGTTGCTGATTGATATTATAAGTTTCTTCTCATCATAACTAAATTCTTATCATATTGCCTTTTCAGGTCACAACAACCATTCACAATCTCATTCTTGGGAAGTTGTACTGCAGCCACCATGGAACAATGCACATAAAAGGGAATCGTCAGTATTCATGTAAACTGAAGTTCAAAGAGCCATCACTTCTTGACCGGAATCCTCATCTAGTATGTTTCGCTTACTTCCTTTCTTTGTACTGTTAAGTGTCAACTCAAACATTACAATTGTGAACAAGGGATGTAGAGCCCACATGTGTTTTCCTCTTTGAGTACATTACCTTCTGACCAATCTGTGGTGAACTCATTATCTTCTTCTGTGCTGTTGGCATTTACATATGAAGAGTTTTGCATGATTATCATGCTCTTAGCATCTGACAAATAAACTGTGGGAGAGATGTAAACCACTTTTCATTGCAAGATTTCCAACTCTTGGCCTGGGGTCTCAATATGAGTGGCTAGACTTAGCATCCATTTGACCTTTGATCACTTGGGGCAAGTGGTTCTCCTTGTGCTGATGATATAATTTGGACTGAGTTAGCAGTGATTTACAAATTTCGTTATATACTTACTGACCCTAGGTTACAGAACTTATATTTCCCGTCTTTTATGTGTGACATCTGAGTTGTAATTTAATTCAAGTGCTACCATAAGTTATTCACTGTTTAAATTTGTGGTGCATACTTGTTTTTAGCTGTATGTTTGCCTCTTTCATACACTGCATTATGTTTATCTGTTGCACGCACTTTGTCCACAGGTACAAGGCTTTGTAGAGGACAATAATGGGAACAAAGCTTCGTTTTTGATAGGGAAGTGGGACGAAAGCATGTATTGTAGTAATTCTGATACTTTCAAGGTGAAGAGCGCCGATCAACTGAAAGGTGCCTCGCTGCTGTGGGAAAAGAACAAACCTGCTCCTAACCCAACACGATACAATTTTTCTTCATTTGCGATCACACTGAATGAGTTGACCCCAGGGCTGCAGGTATGGATTTACATGTGATTGCCACATAAGTGTTTCGTAATCAAGATTTTGTCCTTAATTGCTTGGCCATGCCTGGATTCAGGAGAAACTTCCACCTACTGATTCACGGCTCAGACCAGACCAGCACCACCTAGAGAATGGCGAATACGAGAAGGCGAATGCAGAGAAGTTGAGATTGGAGCGCCGGCAAAGAATGGTATCCTCTCTCGCTTCCTATGTGAAATTTAGAACTGACCTAGAGGATCTTGCCGAATAATTTTGGAAGAAGTTGAGCCTTTCATAGATCACATTCCCAACATGATGTTTCATCCTATTCTGTCTCATTGCAGTCAACGAAACTTCAAGACAATGGCTGGAAACCCAGGTGGTTCGAGCAGGACACCGAGGACGGGACGTATCGCTACAAAGGCGGATACTGGGAAACAAGAGAGAAGTGCTGCTGGGATGGGTGCCTCGACATATTTGGGGAATTTGTGGAAACATGAGCACCTTGTTCTTGCATCAGCAGATGTTCAAGTAGCCAACACATGTCAGGTAACGCCATTCAGAAACGCTGGAGCACTGCCATCTCCAATGGAGCATCCTCTTGCTGAAGAAGAAAAGGGAGGAGCCTTGTGCGAGGAGTAGAACATTGGAGACGAAGGCATTGCCATCATGAACTGAATGGTAGCATAGTATATGATTGACCACGAAGAGGCATCGCCAGCGTGTTAGTATAGTATAGTTCCAATGCAAATAAGAATGCTGGTATTCATTCTTTGGTTCCTTGTGTTGAACATGGATCTGTTGTTGCTGAGTAGGCTACCTGGCCTACGTTACACTGTGGAAGAGATTTGCTTGCTCGGCTAGGCAAAAGTCTGCCTGCCCATGTAATGTGTTTTTGCCGATTGCAGCCGGGGCTGGAAAAGCACCTTCTGTAGAGAAGAAGAGGCAGTAAACTTACATGGTCCTGACATAATTCAGCAAACAATTACTTCCTTCTTGATCTCCGGTGGATATCTCTTCATCTTCAAAAATCAACAGCACAGGTCTCAACACTATGATCCTAGCAGGACAGACTACCATCATCTCTTTTTTTTAGTGAAAGATCTTTCCCTGCTTTTATAGAAGGCATTAAGCATATAATGGCTTACAGACTCCAGAAACAGTTGAGAACAGAGGGAAGCAGAAAGACTCGACATGCACTCTGGGCTGGGCCCCCAAAAGCAGACTGCTACGTACAGCACCACCGAAAACAGTACACACTTGAGAAGATGAGAACCAAAGCGAGTCTTCATCCTTTTCTTGACTCTTCACTTCAATGAGACTGTCAGTTCGTCATCCATCCAGAAAGCCACCTTTGATTTCAGAGTCGATTTCTAACAGAAGCCCTCAGCAACAACTGCCATTTCTGCAAAAAGAAAAATAAAATAAAATAAATTTTGAGCAAGACTTGAGCAGACAATCTTGGGAACTTAAGGGACACCTTCAAGTTATAGTTATCGCACCCTGTCATTCATTCATGTGTTTATTTCTTTGCTTGCATTGCATCTTGTTTCGTCGTCGCCACTGTTATTCTCTACTGTTTTCAGCAAAGGCAAATCAGGTTCAGTGGAAGGATTCGGTGTTCGTGAGGTGGTGACCGACTTGGGGCTGTTTGACACAGCTCACAGCTGCTTGTTAGCTGTTGTGAGCTGTTTTTATTTTTTTTGCTAAACATTTATTTCCAAAATAGCTTGATGGGTGGAGCTATTTTTCTCCTCCTCTCATAAAGACATGAGTTGGGATTAAGCTGAAAAAATAGCTTATCCCAGCTCTCTGCCCCTAGGCCCATTTCGCGCCCGCGTGTAGCCTGTGGAACGCGCTCCCCTTTATGTGTGTGACAACTTCCTTCCTTTTTGTAACAACTTATGTGTATGACAGACATATTGTTTTGTGGCAACTCATGTGTATGATAGCTTCTGACTTTGGTGTAGAGTTGAAAACAAATTATGTTTTTATGACAACTTATATGCGTGACGATTTTTCTCTTTTTCGACAACCTATAGCATCTTTTCTTTTGTGCCAACTTATATGTGTGACAACTTATACAAAAGCTTATGTGTGTGATGACTTCCATTTTTGTGACAACTAATGTGTATAATAACTTGTGTTTTCTGACAACATATGTGTACGACAGATTTTTCTTTGTGGCAAATTTATGTTTTATTATATGTGTGGCAACCTTTTTTTTACAACTTATACATAAACTTATACAACTTATACATAAACTTATACATAAAGAGCGTACCCAGTGCAGAGAGCTCCTGCTCTGTGCGGGGTCTGGAGAAGGGTGTCAGTGGCAAGCCTTACCCTCGTCTGTGCAATGCGAGGAGACCGCGACTCAAACCCGGGACCGGTCACAGGCGGTAAGACTCTACCGCTTGCACCAGGCCCGCCCTTCGTACATAAACTTATACATAAGCACGCAATAATGGAATTTTGTTAGAGTTTACTCAGCCACAGTTACTGGTTCCTGTTTCCCTTATTTCAGTTCAGAATAAGTTGCTGTAAAATATATAGAGTAGAGCTGATGGGTAATGGTGTCTCGTGAGAGTGGGTTTTTCATGTCTTGGATACATTTGTAATTGTATGTACATGTGTACTTTGTGATGACTTGATTTTTGGCACTGAATGTTACATGTAGCATGATAGTCTAAGTATGTTTTCTAGCGATCCGCTTATTGAAATCTTTGTGAGACATGTGCTAACCTCTTTCTTTCTCACTTGCATGTGCAGGTAATGACACCATAAAGGTTGTCAGATTTGGTAAAGTCTAGCTTTTTGTTTGACTTTGGTGAGCGTTTGAATAGTAATGGACTTGGGATGTGAGACTTCGGTTGTATTTAAGACGTGCATCTTTTGCCGCTGCTGCTGCTTGCATTTTGTCGCTGTTGCTACTGCATGTATGCATTTTGCCACTGCGGCATGGATTAAGATGTTTGAGTTGTATGTATTTTCGGAATCTCTATTTGTTGTAAACTCAAGGTTGAATGGGATGTTGGATGGAAACTTATGTAATCTGACGTTGGATGAAAATTTATGTGATATGTTGGATGGAAGCATAAGATTATTTATTTGATGTGCTATTACAATCATTAGCTTTTATGGGCTATGTATATGTGCTGTGTATATGGGCTATGTATGGGCTGTATGTGTGAAATGGGCCGTATGTGCTGTAGTAGTAGGCTGAACAGTGAGCTAAAAATTGATGACAAAATTGGGCTGCCAAAATGGCTGAAACTGGGCTGCCAAAATGGCTGAAAAAGAGCTGCGAAAATAGCTAAAATTGGGCCAAAAATTGATCCATCTTAGATTTTGGCCTGTTAATAAATGGGCTGAGGTAGTGTCCACGTCATCATCCACATAAGCATCCATGATGACATGGCGGTTCATCCGTGACGTTTATTTTTCGTCACAAGAAATGGACTTGGGCCGGTCTAACTAGGCCTCGGGCTCTATCGTGACGATTGAAGATCGTCACCGATTCCGTTAATCCGTGATGATTTTTGACAAAACATCACGGAGGTTAATCCATAGCGCTCAATCCATGATGATATCTAAAATCATCACAGATGTTGTTTGGTGATTTTTTTTTTGTGATCCATGACGAAAAATTTTCATCATGGATTAAGGATTCTTGTAGCGCTCTCTGCCCATGGTCCTGTTTCTTCCCATTCAATTCGGCCTGCTCCTCTTTTTCACTCGGGCTGAGCCCCCAACTCCCGCGTGGGCCTCAGCCTGCTAGCTTTTCGCATTTCCCATCGGCTGCTTCTGCGCGCACAGAACTGACGAGGGCAGAGCCTCCGGAACCAACGTCTGCGCTGCGATACTGCTCGCTGCTCCTTCGTCTACATCGCGTGTACGACTACTTCCTCGAGAGGCTGTTCACGGGATCTGCACGGCGAACATCTGCTCTCCACCAACTCTGAACGACCACATCGAACAGCCCTGACTCTGACTCACGAGAGTCTAATGTAGAAGAGCAGAACCGGTCGGATTCCCAATTTGATCCCGGTTCCGGATACCGAAACGGCGAGGCCGACCCTGCATCCTGGCCGCCGGCCTGCAGGCTTCAGGTGTTGACTGCAGAGCTTCATGCAAAACTTGAAATTTTGAACCGTCATCTAACAGCTTGCCCACGCGTGATCCTACCATCATCTACAAAATCCACCAATACAAAGCAACCTGTGGCTCAACGTTCAGTTTTTTTTTTATGTTAACAGATTCAGTGCAACCATTTTGCTTCCCATTTTCAGAAGAAACAAGAAGAGGATCGGTCAGGCATTTCCTTCTTTTGAAACGAATCGGTCAGGCATTTCAGGTCAGAGCTATATATGATCTAGTCCTCGACCAAGCTGAACATGTTGGTGTACTTGTTACTTTATTGATAGGTTTGATTTGCATAATCACACGCTGCACCGGAATTCCGCTGCTCCCCCTCACCTGATTGCTAACATTTTTTTTTGAAACGACTGCTAACAGTTTTAACTGCTTCCATCATCGTACACCAGCGCACTTATCATCTTTTGCTTGCACACAATGCACGCCATCAGATTACATTGTACACACCAGCGGCCGACGTACAGCAGTTTCAATACACGCTAAAATATCCACATAAGAGATTCATCAGGTGCACAAAATAAAATAGGTTATTTACAATGAAAGCACAAAGCTTGTCTGAAACGTTGTTCAGTGAATACATGTAGAAAGCACAGAAAATAATTCAAATACAAACTTAGTAGTCTTGTGCAAGTTCAGTGAAGAGGCCTGAATGTCATGTGGCCCTTGGTAATGGAACAAGACTCTCTGTGTAGGGAATTATGAAAATGAAATAACGATCCTTCCCAACAAAATCCAAGCTGCCTGTCCTGGGATTCTTGTACCTCAACTGATCCACAGAAGCCACTTCCTCTGCGGTTCCAGTTGCCTTGTCGTGGTGGCGGTAGATACGCGTACCGCTTTGAAGAAATACTACACAATCACCAAGGAATCTTAATGCTCTGCACCACAGCTTTGGTAAATTATTAATTAGTTACATAAACACGATGCCACTGATGATGATTGCCACCGGATGGTGACGTCCAAAATACTATTTCTGCTGGCAGACGTTGAACTAGGCCTAATTTCCCGCCTAGTTCAATAAACTGAAGGGGCTGCTCATCTGATGGCAACACAGGATGAGATACGAAATCAAATGTTTCCTCTTCTAATCCGAAGCGTAGGAAGCCTTGTAGTGGGTTTTGAAGGAGCTCCCTCTCGATGTGCCAGTACAGAGACCCCTTGAAGTAGGGCAGGCAGGCTCCTGTGGCATAATTACGGGGTACGGTGGATCCCTCCACTATCCTCCGATAGTAAACACTTCCATCCCAGCATTGCAAGTCCGCTCAGAATAATCTACCGATCGGTAAAAGAAGTGAGCAACCTTGTAAGTGTTGGAACCGAGATCCAGGCCTAGACCAGCATG